CCCCCCGCCGCCCTACTGTTCCCGGAGATTATCACAGGTGCTTCTGGAAGGACATTAGGAATAGTGGGGCTAGACAGAAAGAATATTCTGACCTTTAGGGTTAGATACTTCTCTAGACATTTCTCTACCATGAAAACAAAGTCACTGACAGCGGCCATTTCCCCCTAGATCTGATAGATTCTTCAGCTTCAAGGAAGTGAATGAAACGAACAGTGTCTCTGTGTCTCTTTGAAGAGAAGGAAGCCACGCAGCCCCGTCCACCTCCCCTGGGATCACCGCGAGGCGCCAGCTGGGGCCCGGCACAGCGCCGGCCAGCTGACTTGGCTCTCTCACCCGCCCTTCTGGTCTCCCCGCCCTAACCTCCTTGCAGGCACTCTGGCTGCTTTGGAAATGTGAATAAGTGTTTTCATTCGGGTGTCTAATTTATGAACTCTTGCTGGGGAATCCCAGGGCAGCCCCCCACCTAGGGAGCATTTTGTCCTCAGTGTTGTGTTTTCTAGAGAGGGCCGCAGACAGGGACTCGTCCCTGCTGAGATGCGGCTGACTGGTTTACAGGCTGTGGAGACGGAGGAGCCCGGCATTTTCATCTCGTCGTAGGTGTCCTGGCTCCTCATACGGCCCATCTCTATCGATTTAGTGATGTAAGGACAACCATATTCCTTTCTGAAGGGGAACAAGAGAAGTGAAGTGGACCCTCCTTTGGCAAAGCCCACGTTAGTAGTTGTTCTTCCGTTGATTATTGCTTGGGCCTTTTTATTGCAGTAACTTCAGAAGTTCCACTGACAGGCAGCGAGTGGGGATGGAGGACGGGTCCTTGTCCCGGCGTTATTCCACTCTGCGCGCTTAGCTCATGTTCCTACCGGGTGTCCTTACCGCGCTGGCTCTCCTCCTCTCTGCTTTCTCTTTCATTCAGGGATATTTCTGCTTTGCTTGCATGAGAGCAAAGCTGTTTCTGGACTTTTCCTCTTGCTACTCTTGCCTGGTATGCAGCTAGGCAGCTGCTTTCCCTGCCTATCTCCTTCCTTATAAAGCTTCTGAAGCATTGTAATTGGGGAAAATTTCTTTGTAAATACTCTTTTATAATTGGCTAAGTTCTTTAGAATGATCTCCAGTATCTACATCTCCCCTTTTCTATTAACATTTACTTCTATTTAGTTCTCTGCTAAACTTCCAGGTCTTGATTATACAGCAGTAAACCCCACTTTAGCCACTAGGAAGCTGCTTTTCGCCCCCACTTTCATAGATCATCCCTGTGGGAAATTCGGGTTCTCCCTTTACTTGGGCCTGTATCTCTTTAGCTTGTGCAAGTAGAGGGATTTTAAAAAATTTAGATATTCCAAAAAGTTAGGGATTCCAAATTTAAAGGAGTGTGTGCTGATTGCCCACGGGTAGGCATCATGACACAGCAGGAAGTCAGTTGAAAGAGCACCGAGGCGGCTTGTTGCCTGGCCTGCAGATTAGCTTTGCCAGGTTTGGGGGGCACTCCCTTAAGTCCCTGAAAACATATCCATTTCAGTCCTTCAGGAGAGCCCAGCATATTGTAGCCTTGGAGGGTGGGGGGCAATTAGGACTTCCCAGGAGTTTGGGAGTTACTCTATATCTACTTGTAGGACTGGAGTCTACATGGTGAGAAAAGCCCAGGGTGTGGTTTGGTTTAATAGAGAACTGTAAGGACTAGTTTATAGTTGGCTGAATACTGAAACTTGGGGAATTTTCCTGCAGTGGGGTTGAGCCATCTGGGCCTCCCCTGTTCTCCTGCATGGTCTGGGAAGCCAGCCAGCCACTCTGGGTGGAAACCAAATGCAAAGAGGTTCTTGAGGGCTGGACCTCAGGGAATTGTTCTGAGGAGTCCTAGCAACACTTAAGGAAGAAGAAAATGATGCCTCTAAATTCTCCTTAGTGTGTGGGCAAAGTAACTTCGCATAACAGGAGACTCTCCTGGGTTCCTCCTCTTTTGAAATGGAAGTAAATAGTGGCTGAAGATTAAGGAAGTGCATCTCACCATGTGGGTGCCTGCCTCCTGTCAGTTGTGTCCCTCATAACTTCCTTCTTGCAGACGGTGGGGCTAGCAGGTCCTGCTCCCACTCCCAGCACAAGCTGCCCGCAAAACCACCACCACCACTTCTTAGGGCAGTGGCTTCTGCAGATGCCAGGCCTTGCTCCCCTCCACTCTCTCCTCTTTCCTTCCTTGCAGACCTTCCCCAGCCCCTAGAAGGTACTGTGTGCTGGCCCTCCTGGTGTGGTTCTGGTGTTATCAACCCCCTTGAATGTGAATTGCTATCTTTATTGCCCACATTAAAGGAGAGCCAGCTGGTGTGTTATCAGGAAGCACTATTTAAAATGTGAATTGTTACAGAACAAATAAACGCTATGTATAGGAACACACACCGGTGCCATTGTCATTCTTAGCCATAGAGCTGGTTTGTTTTTTCCTTATGGAAAAGAGAAATTTTGTATCTTGGAAAATTTTGGGATGAGGTGGTGGGATCTCCAGCTTCGTCTCCTCTGGGCAAGTGCCCCTGAGGGCCGTTGCAGGAAGTAGACCTGCCCCACTCCCTGCTCTGTCCCTTGCATCTGCCTTCTCACATATGTGCTGGCCCTCGCATGTGCTCAGGGCATCTAGGGTAAACGATATCCTACACGGGATTATGTCTAGGACCCCTGGGTCCCCCAGGTGAAGCAGGACGCTGTGACACACATCTGCCTAATACCAGAGCACCTAGTAGTGACTTCTGGAAGGATTTCCAGGTGCCAGGGAAAATCAAGCCAAGTCACCATTGTTGATTTGCCCACCTCTCCTCCAAATCCCAGGTAGGTGACCTGTTCAATTAGCAGGTATCCTGTGGTATCCTCCCCAGGAAGAACTGTCAACTCTTTACTGCCACTGGTTAGCCCAGACCTGGCCTAGAACACACGAGGTAAAGGAACTGGGGGGAGTTTGCACGCTGGAAGCTCCAGGGGATGTGGAAGCTATTGACAGAGAGCAGTGGAGGAGGAGAGAGCAGCGGTCCCAGGCCTGTACCCCTTGGCTTGTATTTTAAGATGCCCCTCTCCCTCCCAAACCCATGCTCAGGACACACAGTTTGGCTTAAACACATGTTGACAACAAGCAAACACAGAAAGGTGGGTTCAGCCTGCTCCCCATGCCCTCTTCTAATACTGCTCTTCCCTTACAGATCACCCTGAGGCCTCTTCCTTCGGGCCCTGGCTGCTCCCTGGTGGAAGCCCTTTGCTTTGTAGCTCTGAGTAGAAGTCAACTCCCTCAGAAACAGAACAGAAGGGCCGGTTGAGGTATTGGGGGTGGCTAGTGATTGGCACCCCCACTGTCATCAGCGCCAGGTGACCCTGGTGGTGATATGCCAGGCAGCTCAGGGTTTCTCGGACGCTCTTGCTGTATTCGTGCTTGAACTCCAGAAGCAGCATGGTGTAACTGGTAAAGGTGGTGACAGCTGAGGCCATACAACAGGCGAAGGAAACCCAGGCCATGCTAGGCACAAACAGAAAATCAGGCAGTGAGAGTCTTACAGGATTGAAAGAAAAACACCCCAGCCCTCTCCTGAGGGTAATGAGTCTGTTGTCTCCTGGGGGCGCGGGGGCCTTTGTGCTTGCTGCGTCTGTCATGCTGCAGGTGAATGGTGGCAAGAGTGTGTGGACTTGGGTACGTCTGAATGGCTCGTAGTCATTGTGTGGACATCAGACTAGGAGGTTAATGGGATTTTTCCCCAGTGACATTCCTTTCCAGAGCCCAGCCTGTGGTTACCTCTGTAGTCTCCCAGAGTTCCTAGCCTGAGACACAGCCCGATGCACCACCTCCTTCCCCCTCTTGCTTTGAGATTGAAGATTTTCCTTCCCTTAGATGCTTCGGGTGCCAAGAGCGGTCATCGCTCTCTCTTCCCTCTGTCTCTGCTTTGGACTTAGGAGTCCTAGTGCCCACAAAGCCGAGACGCTGAGAAATGCTTAGGAACATGTACTACTATCTGGGGGTGAGCTGTGTAGAGTTGTGCAAGTGGCATTTGCATGGTGTGTAAACATCGTGGCTCGTAAGGGAGTTCATAACGGAGGGAAGGAAAGCTGAGAGTTTAGGGAAGTTGTGTGTATTCAAAAAGAACAGCAAAGGCAAGGACACCAGGGACTGTCACACACATTCCTGTAAATCTGGGAAGGCAAACCCCCAAATCCTCAGGAATTCTGGGAAGCCCAGGAAACAGGAAGCTGTGTGCGGTTAGTGAGGGATTCATGAGGCCAAGTGACGGTTAAAGCCAAGCCGCATGCTGGGACTGCATGTTCTAGCTGCTCCCTCTGACAGGCCAAGGAGGCTCGGGCTGGGGGTGTCCAGGGGTGAGCTTAGTGGCCAGAACTCTGCAGCTGTAATGTCAAGAACAGCTGGAGTGTGGACAGAGGTGAGAAGTGATGGTGTGGGGAGGGAGCTAAACTGTGGCCAGTAGAGTGGACCAGACCCTGGACTCAAACAGCAGGTGTAATTCTGTGAGGAGGAGCGACGGTCTCCCAGCAGACATGCTCCCATACAGCCTCCTTTAGAATGAAAAATGGAGCCATGGCTGTGTCTTTCCAGCACGGTTAAAGGACTTAGCACTTATGCAGATGGGCACCACGCAAAAGAGAACTTTTTAGGGAAAAGTGGGGAACTTTTAGGGAAAGAATTTACTTTCAACATTTTTCTTTTGTCAGATGGCTGCTTATCTCTTTCTGAAAGAAATATAACCCCTTAGTTTTTCAAGAATTAGAAAATGACTGGTAGGGGAAGCTTTATTTCTAACACTATCTGGTGGGAAATACGAATGAAGAAAGGAGGAAGTCACTCCTTACAGGGGAAGAGTAAGCCAGTCATAGGCAATGGAATTCAGTGCAACTTTGAAGGCTAACTTTCCATTTCTCTGCCTTCTAGTACCTGGATTCATAAATATATAAAATACAGAGCAGCATTTCCAGAGACCACACAGAATTAGCTTCATTTACCCAGAACAACATACCCATTGTTGAAGAAGCAATTGCGAGAATCAGCAGAAAAACTTGGCAAGGTAACATATCCCCAACAAAACCAACCAGAAGGTGCTGCTCTGTGTCTCCTCAGAGGTGGGCCAGGAGAAGCACAGCTCCTCTCTTGGCACGAAGGGTGAAGGGAAGGTCCAAGGACACAGATGGGCCTAGTTGAGGGGCGACTTCTCTGGGAAGTGGCTGGGGAAGGGGCCGAAAGGCTCAGGAGAGGAATGTACTTACCAGGAGGCCCAGCCATAGTGCCAGTCATGTGGCCTCCAGCCTTCTGGCCCCAAGTTGACAGGTGCCTGGTGGGCTTGTGAAGACATCAGATGGGCCAGCATCTCCAAAAGGCCTGCAGAGGGAACAGGAAGGCAGAGGCCTCACACAGGCTGTCATTGCCACCTACTGGGAACAGGGTTTGGCATCAGGTGTCTCCTGCACCATGTCACCTACAGGCCACCGGTGTCTAGGACGCTGACCTGAATGGGGGTTCTTGAATGGGTGTCTGCTTTAGGCTGCAGGGGAGATTTGAGTCTATGCTGGACTCAGGCTTTTAATTTATTGAAATCACTTTTATGGAAGTAACTTCACAGTGCTGTTTTAGGGCTTTAAATCTCCTGAGCTCCCTGTCACCACATCGGCGGTCCCACTATCTTCTCCCCTAATGTGAACTTTATTCTTGATCGCATGTACAATTTTCTGACTTTATCCAACAGGCATGGTCTTGAAAAGTTGTGTGTCACAACTGAAAAGTAAACCAAACTATTGGGGAGACATGCCAAGAACCTAGACATACGTGATATCATCAAAAACCAATGGGCAAATGGAAAATCTCACTTTCTGACTTACAGTGAAAGGCACCTGCAAGGGTCCCCTACCTCTGTCTCTCTGCCATGGCACTCCCGCAGCCTGAGGACAGAGGCTTCAGCCTTGCAGACAGCTCTGCAAAGGTGAGGACCCCCCCCTCGACCCCCAAGCCCACACGGGCAGGAGGCGCCCACCTGGCAGCACAGAGGAACAGGCTGCAAAGGCGCTCAGCTTGAGCCCGCAGGCTGGCTTTCTCGTCAGCAGCAAGTTCATCATCAGTAGGAGAAAGCTGATGAACTCCCATCCACGGGAGGCAGGGTGGACTCCCGGGGGTGGCCCTAGGGTCTCTGAGAAACCAGAGGAAGGAGGAGCCCTGACGCTGGCAGCCAAGTCACTGAACAAGTGGTGAACGGAGATGTGAAGAGCAGATCAGAGAGGCGGATGGTGAGACCCAGCCCTCACCTGCTGGGAACAGTCCTTAATTGGGGGTGCCTGGCTATCACCCCACAACTCCCACTCTGCTCAGGACCTAGCAGAGACTTCAGTAAACTTGACTGAATATTGTCAGGGAGATTGCAGGTGAGCACGTTCAATCTTCAGCTCTGTCTTGCAGGGATATAACCTTACTAGCTGTCACATTTGTTGAACTTCTCCCTGATTTAACTCGGCAATGTCTCATTTCCACCCTACCTCCCTCTTCTTCCCTCCACCCCCCCTCCCTCCAATATTACAGTAAAAAAATCATAGGAGGAAGAAGGAAAAACTAAGCTTTCAATAGGGTCACTTGGCAACAAGGGTGGGTCAGGGCTGTGCTGGTGGCCTGTTCTGTCTGCCTTTGCTGTTTCTCTCCTGCATATGAATGAGAGTCAGCACTAGAAGGGTTAGCATGCAGGGGTCTAAGAGGTAGAGAAAGGCAGGAGATCATAGAACAGTAGAGACGCAGAAAGGCCCAGCTCAGTGGCAGCTAAATGATCAAACCCACATACTCGCCACGAGCGCTGAGGGTGGGTGGGGGAGGAAAGCCTTCTCCATCAACCGCTTCCCTCCAAATCCGAGAGGGGGGTGACGTGGGCCTTGCAACGTGGCAAATTCCAGTAGTCCTTTCTCATCTCTCTCGGTTGGTGGTGCGAGTTCAGTGATGCTTCGGCATTTCTCCCCTGCAACAGACAAAGGTCCAGGGTCACGGTGGTGCTTCCAGGGGCTGAGGCCTTCCCTCGCCCTATGCCTGCTGCTGCTCCAGCACACAGTAGGGAGGGTAAATGCCTCCCTCTGAAAGTGGGAAGGAACACGTGGATGGACGAACAACACAGGCGAGATCATCGGTTACTCTCTGGCCTCAGTTACTGATAATGACCAATATGGCGTCTCCTTGGGGGGCCTCACAGGGCAACTTTCCAGATCCTGTGTCAGGAGAGGCTCATCAATCCTAGGGTTTTTTTTTTTGTTTTTTTGTTTTTTTTTAAGATTTATACAGAATTGGGGTACAGTCCAGAGGTTCAGGGGTGGTGAGAGGATTCACTAGAGACAGAGTGGGGAGCAGAACAGGCCGACTGATGAAGTACACTGCTGAGGGAACAGCTATGCCATGGGCTGGGGGTCAAACTCGGAATGAAGTGGCTGCAATCAGCTTGCAGTACTGCATCCTAACTGTGGCCCCATCAGGGAGCGCCCATCCTAGTTTTAACCAGGACCTTTTGCTGCCACTGGTCTGAATGGCTCTGAATGGTTTCAGACCTGGGCTTGAGGCAGGGCTACGCGGCACACTCCTAAACACAGGTGCACAAACACATGTACTTAGAGTCCTCTCCCGTCTCCTCTTCCTTAGTCCAGGTTGGGAGAAGCAGCAGATCGCACACTGGACCCAATTTGGGGCTTTAGAGAACATTATTACCAGTTGCTCCTTCCAGGCCATCAGGTAACTGGGAGTGCTCTGGGCAGGGGTGGGAGGTGACCTCAGCCCATGGCTCCTATCCCAAGGACGACAGGCTAGTGTGTGCTGACCCCATGTTGCTTTGCTGGTGTGTGCTGAGCCTCAGAGGCTGTCTGGGATCTGGGAGGGTCTGTTGAGTGCCCTTACCTGATCTGTTGACAGTTAACCCTTCTGGGGCTTCTTTTAAGTTGTAATAGTACCTAGCATGGGTTGTCCCCTTTGAGGGGGGCAGTAAGGGGCTTTGAAGGTCATCTGCTCTAACCCTTCCATCTCACAGCTGTAAAATGAAGGCCTCTAGAGATTCTCATAGAAGCGGGGCAGGGCTGGAGTCCTTTCATTCACACTCATCTCTCCTTGTTTTGTTTCAAGAACAGAATGGAAATTCTCCTAATGTCAAAAGTCTCATTGAAACTCTTGAAGGGTAAAGCCACTTTATGCCAGTGAGTCTGCTAGAGTCTGTAAGGTCAGATGGACTAGGTCAGATGGACTTTCAATCTTATGAAAATGGGGGGTGGGGCGGGGTCCCATGGAGAAGGGACGCAGAATGAGGTGGGAGATGCTGGCCAGCTTGGGGGGAGGCCGGCTGGGCTCAGGTGGGATTCTTTGCCCATGCTGCTCCTTGGTGGGAAGTTAGGCAGCTGGGGGTGAGGTGGTACCTGGTTCTTCCACGGTTTCCTCACAGGATAGCCACATGCCACTGCGGAAGGCATGGTGGGTGATGTGGGCACCCCCAGCCTCCCCGTGGTGTTGCACCACCTCCGCGGCTGATGTGTTGGCATGGCTCCGGTCCATGGGCATCGGCAAGTCATAGCACTTGGCTGCCAGAGCTTTCCAGAACAGGGGCTCGGGCACCTTCTGTGTGTCCACAAACCAGAAGTTGCTGAGCAGGGATGCTGTGGAGAGCCCGAGTGATAGCAGGTGGAGGATGGCAGATAGGGAGGCTCGGTGGTCAGAGAAGGCCTGCGAGAGCTCCATCTGCAACAGACAAGCACAAGGGGCAGCCTGAGCTCAGAGCCGCCTCAGACACTTGAACACCCTCCTTTTGGCTCCCGGACTCCAGTCACGTTCCTCCCAGACGGCCTTGGGTGGCGTGTGGCGCACTCTCAGTGAGAGAACTGAGCCTGGGCATGGCACTCAGTGCCCACACAGGCAGGAGTAAAGGAATACCACCAGACAACTAAGGAGAGGGGGGAGGCAGGAGTGATGCTGGAGTGGAGCGACTGTAATGAATCTTCCATTTTTGCCTCAAGAGGCGAGACTGGTGTCTCTGTGGCCTTCAGCTGGCAAGTTCTGGGGAGAAAGCATCCCGCACCAGTGTGTGGAAGGTGCCACCGTGACCCAGCGACGGCTGTGTTCTGAGCACAGGGATGGATTCACCTGATGGAGCCTTTGGTCCCCCAGGGACAGAGTGAGCACGAGGGTGGAGCTCTACAGATGTGTCCACTAGCTGGTGCCTGTTAGGCTATTCTGCCTCCTCCAGGCTCGCCTAAGTCCCAGTTGCATCAGGAGTGTCTGTCGCTTGACCGGCACTTCCACAGGAAGTGAGACTTGGAAGGGCCTCAAGGACTCTTGCTGTTTCCCTCCTCAGTGGCCTGCTCATCACTTAAATTTGCACTCATATCTGTGCTCCCTCCAAGGCCCAAAGGGCCCACCCTTTCCATGCTTACGCCCTCCCCACCCCGCTCCCTGTATCTAGCCTAATAGCATGGCGCCCGCTAGGCCCTCAGCCCTGTGCTGCTCATTAAATCAACGGTGACTGGAGGGAACACAGGTGATGAATGGAGCCACTGAGGCTTGTATGGATCTGGTTGAGGACTGGGGCCTTTGAAATGCACTTGCTGGTAATGAGTTTTGGTTTTGTCTTCCTTGCTAAGGTCTTGGGTGTTATGACAGGTGTCCCCTTCCCCAAACCATCAGTTCCTCTAAGAAGCAAGAGAGGTGTGTCTTGTTAATGACGTAAGTGGGCTCACCGTGTGGAGTGGGGGTGGGGTGCAGTAGAGGATTTGGGGCCTGAAGGATAAGAAGGCAGTAGCCAACTGGGATATGGGGCAGTTGAAACCCTGTGAGGTCCAGCCTTCCGCTGCTAACACAGATCTCCAGTTGGAGGTGGCTGCATGGTGTCCATGGAGACTGGACGCCCAGTGTCAAGGCCATGGAGGCCCAGGGAGAAGGCCCTCGGCTGTGGAGAGGAAGCTGCAGGGTGCCTGGCTCACAGTGGGCACAGTGTGTGACAGCAGAGACTGTGGCCTCCCTGGTGCTGGCTGGAGCCCCTGACCCTGGTCATGTAACCAAAGAGAAGGGCTGGAAAGAAGCGACCATATTAGACATTCCAGTTCAGTGAGTAGTGAGTGGCAGCTTGTGCCAGATCTGATTTGCTTTAGAAAAATAAAGAAGTGTGACAGGTCTCCACAGTAGGGGTAGTGGAGCAGTTTATGCTGTCATGTTCATACATATTGAACAGAGAGGAAACCCGACCCGAGATGCTGACAGATGCTCCTGCAAGTAAACCATCTTGAGCTTCCCGGGGGATCTCATATCAGAGGTAATAAGACCTAAATCTGCTCAGCTTAAGAGAAGTAAATCAAACCATAGCTAAATAGGACAGGCTCACAAATCTCTCTCTCTCATCATCCCCAGCTTAACATTTTCTACATTTAACAGAGAACTTTTTTATCTTTGGCATCTACACTTTGTTCTCGAGAATTTCCAGGGACTCACACAAGGCATTCTAGAGACAAAGTGCATATTGTTCACGGCAACAGTACACAAGATTCCTATGTCTATAAAAACCAATACGCAAAACTCATGATAAAATAACTTCCAGAAAGCAGTCTGCTAATGAGATTTTTTTAAAAGGCACTCAATAAAATAATTCCACCATCAATTTTCAGCCCAAAGAAGCCAATGGGTGATCCTGAGTGGGACTGAAAAACCACAGCATCCAGGAGGAGAAAAGATCTTTTATGACCGGATGCAGGGCGGGGGTCATGTTGTTCTTCTCCAAGAGGGTGTTTTTCTCATTTTTAGTTATGAAAATCCTATTGATTTTAGTCAATATGAATTGTCCTTTATAATTAAATGCAACATATGCATATTTGTTGCTTGATAGGAAATGTACCTCCAGCTACACTACCTTACATTAATTATTCTGTATAATGGTTGAACTAAGCATTTAGGCATTCAACTTTTCCAGTTTTATTTTTAGTCCACTATAACTTGGAAATGTGTTTATCATAACAATAGATTTTAACTCTACCTTCAATCCATTTCAAGTTACACCTATTTGTTATTTGGTGGGTCACTCAGAAATAAAAGTGATTCCCACACCATAGGACAACTGCTTTGTGGCTCCAGGGTGATACAACTAATTTAAAGAGGAGGAGCCACTGAAAACAGAATGAAAAAGAGCTTGAAGCTCCAGGAGGCTGTATCCAGGAGTATCCAACAAGAACCTCCTTCAGTTATTCAGGAATTATCTGGATAATGAAATGGAAATCCATTCAAGAGCCCTTTCAAGAATTTTATCTCTCCTCTCAAACATGTGTTTTCCTCTCCAGGATCCAGATACCTCCTGAATGGGAAGAACAATTTTGCAGTGATTTTCTTAGGATGATCATGAAGAAGTGGAAGTGAAAAATAATTTCTTTGTCTATGTTGACAGGGGATTGCTTCTAGAAAGGCACAGAGTAGCTGCTCTGCTACTCAGAGGCTTAGATGAATAAGCAAGTTCACGGGTGCTGCAATATCACCAAGATGCCCACCCGCAAGGTGGACAGGAAAACAGAGTCCACACGGCTAGGGAGGGCTACCCTCGATGAGCAGGCACCCCTTTAACGAATCTGGTACAAGATAGTATGGCACCTATGTTCTAGCCATGAGGAGGGGTGTGGGGGAGCTGGTCAGCCATGTCCTAGTCCTGCAGAAGTCCCTGCAGGGTCTTCTGTGCTGTAGCTCCCTTGACTTGAATGTTAAGAGCATGGAGATTGCCTTCCCCTCTTCTGCCCCGCTCCGCATAGCTCACGCTTCTTGGCGTGCCTCACGATTGAATGCTGCTTTGCAGGGAACATGGGCATTGAATAATTGGCAAAGCAGCATGGCCCAGCTGTTCTGGGAGATTACCAATGGGGAGCTGGGATTATAAGCACCAGGCAGCCAGGACCTGCATTCAAGGTGGTGAGTGCTCTAAAAAGTACGTGATTATTTCGTTTCCATCTAATTGCTATTTCCCGGGTAACTGGTGTGACTAGAGTGGGCTTGATTTTATGGAAGGCACAGAAATCTAAGGGTCACCATTCCCTCAGAAGTCCCCATCCCCTTGAGTGGGGTTTCCGTCCTCTTAGTCAGCTCTACTTTGCAGTGTTATGACCTCACGGAGATGTGGAAGGAACTTCCTTTGCCTGGGCTCCACTCTCCAGCTGGTATATTATTGAGGATGATTAAATCTCTCCATTCCGCATGAAATCCTGGGAGGGTATCCAGCGGGCATGGGGGTGAGGATAGAGAGGGGTTAGGAATAGAGAGAAAATTCACCAGGAAATTCTGGCTAGACAGCATCTCTGTCCCAGTCTTCAGGCAAAGGACAGAACAATCTGACATTTTTCAAAATAAGTTTTCTAAGACTAAAAAGTAATTAGACAAAGTCAATATGAGCTTGACTGTGTCTCTTCTTGCCTCTTGTCACCTAGAAGCATGCATTTTCTTTCTGGTCTCAAAAATTGTGCCAGTTAATTTGGGATGACGTGGCTGGGAGACATTGTGCAGCCTTGTGTGATTCTCTCGACACCCAGGTGCTTGCATCCTGGCGCCTCTGGGGATGCTCTTCCCTCTGCCTGGGTGCTGTCAATCTCCTTTTACCCGGTGACCTGCCAAGGTGGCTCACTCATTGTTGGGGAATGTCTTTCTTTATGACAGAACAGTCCACTCCTCTGTCCTTGACACTGTGCCTTTCATACCACTTTCTACATCCCAGGATAATGTAATCACTTCTATATTACAGTGTCATCATTCGCCTTGATGGTAATGTCCCTGAAGCCCTCTCTTTCATGCAAGAGCAGTTCTCAATTCTGATCGCACATCGCAACAATCTTTGAAACTGGAAAATATACAGATTCCTGGGCCTCACCCCAAGACTCCATCAAAATTCTGGGGTAAGACCAGGAATCTTTAATTTTAGAAAGTATGAGTCGTAGTATACGCCCAGAGATGGACTCCTGGTTTCCAGTTCCAAATGTACTAAGGTTGGAAGTTGCCCTCTGACTTAACAAGTAAAAATTTGAAAAAGACTGAAAAAAAGTGTGTAGCCAGAGAACTGCCATTCCATCAATGACACCTGTTTTTCTCATTTTGGGTCTAACATTTACTGAGACCCTCTGTATCCTGTCCGACCCTTCTGGCAAGTCATCCAGATTCACCCCCAGGTCTTGTTTTCCCCACTACCTCTGTGTAGTTAGTTTAGGGACTCTGCCCTCTTTCATTTCAGTGTGTGCTTTAGTCCACATCTCAGCCAACGTGTCTCTCTTTAGATCTTGCTTCTGTAAGAAGCAAGTCTCAGACTTGTCTCTGGTCTCAGACAGATGTTAACAGGTGTTGGTGCACATGTATGTGCATTATGTGTTGGCTGCTCCTGTGTTAGCCAAATGCCCTTGACTTGTGGCAGAATGGCCGTATAGCAAGGGAGCAGAATTTGGGGGCCCCTTCGCACCTTGAAGAGGGCTGTGAGTTTCCAGGCTTATTTTCAACTCAACGCTGGGTGGCGCTCTGCCCTCACGGTCTCCTCTGCAGTCACGTGCTTCGCTCCCAGGCACCCCACCCTCTCTCTACTCCCCGCCGCTCCCTGTAGGACTGCTCTTTTTCCTCTTTGGCCTCCACCCCACACGCTGATCTATAGAAGCCGCGTGTCAGCCTCCTGGAATTCGCAGCTCGAATGAACTTGGGGGCATTCAGCTGCTCCCTGGAGGACATGTTGGTGAATTGTTTCCTGTAGCCCTTTTTATTTATTTATTTATTTAGATTTTGGTAGCCAGTTCCAGTTCAGTGACTCAATAGGATCCTCAAATACTTCCCCTGGGAAATGCACAGCCGTAGTATCAGAAAATAGCCCATGTTTCCGCATCAGTTTTGTGCACATTTTTCTCTCCTTAATCGTATCCTCAGTCCCCTTTCACCCAAGAACAGGGAACAATTCTTTCTCTCCTCTGTGCTTACACCCTTCACATACTTGCAGACACGTCTCATATCCCGCTTGAGTCACCATTGGCACAGTCTTGGGTTTTGGGTTTTTATTGCTTCTGCTCATAAACCGCACCCCCCAGTGGCTCCATTAGCCTGAAGTTCGCCCTCTCCGGGTGAGGGGAGGGGGGCGGCAATCTTAAGTGGGTTATGTGAAGAACCTTAGGGGTGGATTTTAGAGTGAAGCTAATGAAACTTCAGCTCTGTGGCCCCCCACTTACACAGGCCCCTTCCAGGACCCTGTTACCTAATTTGTACTTGCTGCTTTACTTTTCCTAAGCAGGACCTCCAACATTTTATTATTTTTGACCTCCCCAAAGGTGGAAGCTATGTATTTGGCAGGCTGACTGCCTCCTAGTTGTGACTATTCTTGAGGTCCCCTCTCCCGCCCCTCTCCAAGGACCCTGGCTCGTAATTCTGGTTTCCTTTTATTTTTTATTTTTTTGACAAAACATGAGTTTCTCTGCCTGGCCACAAAAGTCAGAGCCGAGCAGCCCACTCACTTCCTTTCATTGTAATTTGGACAAGTTGATATTTTTTCTTCTCTGTCCTCTCTTAGAACAGAAAAAGTAATTGCTAGTCAATGCAGCATAAATATAATTAGGTTAGGCAGAGAAGTTCATGACTCAGCAGACAAGATGATTCCGCATGTCAAAACAGTATTTAACTGTGGTGCTGGGTTCTTACCTCAGCATCTCCCCGCCCACTCCCCAGCCCATCCATGTGTCCCAACATTTATGACATCACAACGCCAAGGGTTGGGACTAACCTATATTTGCTAGATTCTTAGTCACGGTTCCCTGCACTCTACCAAACCACATTTATTAGGTGTGCATGAGAGAAACAATGGTCCCGGGACATCCACAAGTATTCAGTAAACAGGAGTTCAACTTTTTGTTTTATGAGTGCACTGTAGATACGAGGCTGTTAAAACAATGGGTAAGAATGTGGAGCTAACGAAGATCCTTCAGTACACCCACTCCCCCTTCCCTGATGCCAAAACCTGGTGTTAAGGGATCTTGTGGGGTTCTTCCCCCACACATTGATATTGGCATCCTCTTCCAAGAATAATTCATTTGTCCTCCCTGGCATGATCTCTGCGGTTACTCCAGGAGGGACATGCCTTATGCATGGTACTTGGAAGACACCCAGCGGGAGTGGACAAGCCCACTTGTCATATAGACAAGAGCAGTCACGAGACAAGATGCCCCAAAAAGAGTGTAGTTGCATAGGCCTTGCGCCTTTGCATCCAGGCAGACCCCTAGTTTCCCCAAGCAGATCAGCTGTGAATCCATTTCCTCCCACCTGTGGAAACATTCCTGCTTCTCAATGAGCCAAGTCAAAACAGCAATGATCTCATGATTAGTATTATCTTTAGTTCGCAGGGACCAGGGTACAGATAGACGCTGGAAAGCCTGTGACAGACAGCAAGTATTTCCGTCCTTGCCCAAGCCCCCCAAGGGCTCCTATGCATGATGTGTCTTGAAAGCCTGGAGATTTGGCTGCCCTAATTACATTTTTTACTTCACTGCCTCGCATTTGACTCATTCACTGATGAAGATAAGCAATGTCTTCACACAGGACTCTACCTCCCTGCCCTGAAGGGAAGATATGCCACCCAAATCCCAGTCCACGATATGAACATCACCGTGGGACACTCAGCTCTGGGATTTTCTAGCTTCACAGACTGAAAACCACGCCTGTCTTCCCAACACAGTGTTCTGGGAACACATCTAAGTAGAATGGGGGCGAGGGGGGGGTGCGGCGCGGGGGGGGGGGAGAACCAAAGAAAGCAGGGGGGGGGGCTCTCCTCTCGGTTGCTTTTCCCTTTCCGCTGTTTAATGGAATTGTTGGAGGGCTTTTGCTAGTGCAGTCATTTCCAGGAGAGGAAGCCGCCTTTCTTCCATGCCCCAAGCAGCTGGAGTGAATCAGGGCGGCAGCCACATCAGCACATCCTGTGGGGTAACCACTCACGCGCCGCTGACGGAGCCCTGGGGACAGGCAATGGTTGGGGTGCTTGGGCACCGCGGGGCAGGTTGGCGCTTGTGGCGCGACCGCAGGCGTGGACCACCCCGTTTCTATTTGGCATATGCCCCCTGGATCTCTTCTGCTCTCTCACTCCTACTCCCTTAGTGCGGAGGGGCCGGAGCCTAGCAGTGCCTGCCGGGCTCCCCTCGCCCCCCACCCCTTTCCCGCTTGAGTAATACCGCCTTCCCATCCTCCACCTATTTACTACGGCGCTCCGGTTGCCTAGCAGCGGGCGCACGTTGCTAGGGCGACGCGCCGGGAGAGGCTTTGATTGTTCCTCAAAGCCCCGCCCTGGCGACCTTCTTCCGGGCCTTCCCGGGAGGGCGGGGCCGGACTGTGGCCACGGTTCCTCGCGGTCTTCCTGCCTAGAGGAGAACCCAGTCCCCTGGGTCCTCCCAGGCTGAGGGAGCGGGAGAGGCTCGCTTCCCGCGGACGGCGCCCAGAGGGGCCAGGCACGAGCCCAGGCGCTGGTCTTGCAGGCCGGGAGTGGGCCCAGCTGGGTGGCGCTGATGGCCGACCTCGGTGCCAGGGCTTGTGGAGAGTGGTCTCTGATAAATTACTAAACCCAGTTCTCAAGGCCCAGCAGGCGTCTGTGACTGTGGAAGCCCATCAGCCATGGCCCTGTCGCCGGCACTTGCCCACCAGAGACAGGGCCCCGGAGCCGGCCCTAAAGCAAGGCCATGCCTTCACCTCTTTTTGTGGATTTAGAGGTGCAGTTTCTGGCCAGTCAGGAGCCCCTCGGCAACTCTGAGGTGTGGGCACCACTCTGCCCCTTACCACTACTTTAATGACTTGAATCAAGTTATTTAACCTTCCTGAACCACTGTTTCCTCAGGAGAAAGAAATGCTTCACAGTTCAGTTGAGAGGATCAAAAGGGTAAAAGTGGAGGGAGGAGGCTGGGGCTGCCCCACAGGTTCACTAGACTCTGGCAAAGTCCCTACTGATCATCCTCAAAGCGGTTCTGAGCATTTGGTTTGTTCACGGCCACAAGGTTGGTTTGCAATCAACAATTCCCCCATCACCACCACCCCTTCCCACCCCCGCAAAAAAAAAACAAAAAACAAACAAACAAACAAAAAGCACAAACAATCCCCAATTCCCAGCTACCTGTTAGTAAAAAGGAGGCACAATCACTTAACAGAGCACTGGTGCAGGCCAGGTTATGGAAACTCATGCAATGCGGTGCTGAATTAAGGTACTTAGGCTCCCCAGATAATGAAGCAGATTCCCTTGTGTTTTGTGTCTCCGTGGTAACTAAACTAATAATTACACAAAATTATTCTGAGCGATAGCTTGCTTTTCCTGACATGTCATGTCCACTACTGAGGGTTCTTCTACCCATTTACTTTCCTGAACAGAGGAAGCTGGCTCTGCTCTGAATCCCAGAAGGGTCCTCTCCAAATTCTGAGATCCCCAACTTCTGGAGATGTGAACAGCACAACACCTGACTCTGCTGTATGTGCGCATGTGGTGTAAGTTTATTAGTCTAATCTTTCCCTCCTGGGAAAGGCAAGATAGATGAGAAGAATATTGGCTTTTTAAAAGTGACCCTTTGCGCCTTAAGTAGGCAGTTCTCAGCTTTCTCAGACGGGAGGCAAATCACTGCCAGCTGTGGGCCCTAACCTAAACAAATTGAGACATCTTTGCTGGCGTGTGTATCGTCCTGGGTCTGGAAGGATCCTATGGATTCTCCTAAATTGTCCGAGACCAGAACGAGCCTATATTCCTGCTCTCTTAGTTCTTATCTCCAGTGGATTGTTTAACAGAGCTGGCTTCCTGCAGGGCGGTGGAGATGCCTCACCGGTCTGTAACAACTGAAAGTCTACTCTTGAGGGGCACCTCTGGACCTTTAACCAGGGGCCAGTTTTTGTCAACTGGAATCAGAAAGGTGGAGGGGGAAAGAAGAGTTTCTACAGGACTCTAAGCTACACTAGGAGCAGAGAGGAAAAGTAAAAGATGAAAAAGTGAGCTCAAGGTATGGACATCACAGGGTTTGCCAAGAAAACTAGGTTGGGATAACTCATTTTTATTCCATTTCGTATAATCCTATAGTGTGTTCTCAAGCTCCTTATGGGAACCAGTGAGATAAATTAAAGTGGTAAATTTCTATAACCTGTATTACCAATCCAATCTCAAAGTTCCTTCCCATGAGATAGTCATGTGATTTCAGAAGTCAAGGCACTTACCTTCGGGGTGAGACAAACATTTTGAGTCAGTTGAGAGGGAATGCTCATTCACTTGTGAAGCTCTGAGGCAAAAACGTCTCAGTTCTCTGCTCTGCCTTGATCCGATGCGTGGAGTGGGGAGCTGGTGTGAAGAGGAATCAGGCCCCCTCTTGCCAGCAGAGGGGTGAGATGGTATGGGGTGGGCTGGAGAGGATGGAAAGGATGTCCAGCACCAGTCTGGGTGGGGCACGCTGACACATAGGATTTGCTCTGTGACATCACAGTGGAAGGCTGGGACCTCCCTCCCCTACCCCTCCACCCCTCAAGACTTGTCTCCCTCCCCCCAGAAGGACAGGGGTCACACTGGGGGACTTACCAGAGCCCTGAGTGTCTTCTGAGTGACCCATTATCAATGCTTCTACTACTGTGTGGAAGCTTCACTTGGGCATCTTAGAAATATGGCAAATTCTGAAGGTCTGGGAGGGCTCCCCAAGAAGGTGGGCAGGTCACATGGAGTTGTCAGATGCTAAACCAGTGCTGCCAAAGAGAAATACAGTATGAGTCACATATGTAGTTAAATGTTTCTAGTAGCCACATTAAAAACAGTCATGGGTATACACATGTGCACATTGCCATATGACAATGAAATCTTATGCAGTCATGCACAGTGTAAGAGCCCCAAAGGAGCTCAAGTAAAATGTAGTCCTCCCCCAAAGAGCAATGGTTCATGCTGCTTCCATTTTACTATTTGATATTAACTAAAATCAGAAATTGAGTTTGCAGTGGTACTGGACATATTTCCAGGGTTCAAGAGCCATATGTGATTAGGAGCTACCTTGTGGGATCATAGTAATCGAGAACATTCCTTGACTGGTATCTGGAACCTTACTTAGCACATGCTCACTAACATCGTTTTAATCACTACATAGAGCTACTGACACTGACTCTGACGTCAGGCTCTCAGAGAGGGGTGGTAGTTTTTGGACTCAAGGATTCTGCTCAATGAGGAGATGTGGCCCAGTTGGTCCACCTCTGAGCTTTCACCTGAATGCCCCACAGTGGAATTCCTCCTCCTTCCTTACCACCCCACCCAAAATCCTACACAACTTTCAGAGCATGTAGTTCTAATTTCAGTTCAGTCAAAAGTCTTTCCTTGTTGGGGGCCTCTGTGGTGGCGCAAGGGCATAAAGCACAACACTGTGTAGCTATCTGCAGCCACTACAGCACAAGTTTGATCCCTGGCCAGGGAACTGACCCACGTGGCATAGCAGACTCTCCTGACTTGCCCGCTGCTCCTCTCAGCAGTGTATTTTAGTAGATCTGCCTGTTCTTCACCCTACTCTGTCTCTGGTGAATCCTCTCACACACACACCCCAACTGTTACAGGCTAGTCCAGAATGAACTGGGCTGCCTGTCTGTGGGTCCTCACCTGCACGCTAAAAATTTAATTATTCTGCAGGCACACACAAAAGGGTAATGGGTTTATTTACAAAAGGGGAAAGGAAAAGGAACAACCAGGGGAAGAGAGAGAGAGAGACAAGGTTTAACTGGAATATCTTATGAGCTCGGCTAACTTGGAGCTCTACTCACAAACTAACTGCTAGCCCCCAGTCACACACTGAGAACTGTTGCTCCAGAAAGAGAGCCATCACATTATACCTCTCCAGAGGTACTGTTGAAAAACCACGCTCTATTTGTCCCCCAGAGGCCCAGAATGCCTGCTTAGCTCCACCCTTGGGTCTTCGCAGTTCTCTCCCTGGTACTGCTGGGAGTTATAGTTTCCAATCACTGGAGTAGGGGGTGGAATCCACAAAACTCTGCAGAGTTCCTTTAGGACATCCTTCCCCTTAACACAACAACTCTGGCCTGCACCCCAGTTCTTGTATGTATAAGTAAATAAAACTAAAAAAACAAAACAAAACAAAAAACAAGTCTTCCCTTGTTATTTCAGCCCTCATTACTCTCTCCACCCTATGGACTGGTTATATAAAGGGTTCTTCTTAACATGGGTCTAAACTCTGGCTTTGCTTGACATTCATTAGTTTGTTTCTTATAAAATTTGAAGCTGCTTGAGGACAGAAAATACTTCTTTACTTCCATAGTGCCTAATGTAGTGCTGGGGGGCATTATAGTTGCTAATAAATATTTTACTTAGTAAGCAAAGGTAATAAGTATCTAAGAGAGAACATAAAAACTAAAAGTATCAACTTGAACAAAAGGAATGATTTGCTTTGTTCTTGGCCTGTAGTGGTCCAGGGCGGACATGGCCAGAGGAGACAGGATAAGTTGTTGCTAAGACTGTTTTTCCTGTACTTTGTTCAATAAGCTCTTCCAGGATAAAAAAAGAAAAAGGAAAGTCCTTGTCCATAAATTAATTTATAAACGTAATGTAAACCCACTACAAATCCCAATGGGCATTTTTAAATAACAAAGCAAGTTGATATTAAGGTCCTATGGGAAAACAAATGCACACGTTCACATAGGAAAATACTGGAAAGGAGATGCTCTGCAGGGACCTGCCCGACAAACAGACTGACTCTGAAACCTACGTGGTGCAGGTGTCTGGCCAGCAGACCCACCAATGGAATAGAAGAGACATCCAGAAGTAAACACAGCCATGAATATGACAAAGGTGCTATCTGTAGCCCCCTAGGCAAAGATGGTCTTTTTTTTTTTTTTTAAGATTTTTATTTATTTATGCATACAGAAATGGGGTACAGGCCAGAGATGCAGGGGTGGTGAAAGGATTCACCAGAAACAGAGTAGGGAACAGAACATGCGGATTGAAGTATACTACTGAGGGGAGCTGCGGTCTGCTGCACCATATGGGTCACCTCCGGGGCAGGGATCGCACTTGCACTGAAGCAGCCACAGCTTGGCTTGGAGCTTCACAGTGCAGTGCTCCAACCCACTGTGCCACCAGGAAGGGCCCAAAGATGGTCTTTTTAACAAATGGTACTGATACAACTGGATAGCCATGGTGAAAAATAGAAATTGTATCCGCTTTTTATACTATTCCCAAGAATAAACTCCATATAAGTAGAGATCTGGACACAAAAGAAAATAACATAAGTACTAGAAGAAAGCAAGGTAAATTCTCTTACCACCTGGGTGTAAATAAAGACTTTTAAGTATGACTAAAATTCCAGCTATAGGTAAGAAAGTGTTGCTACATTTGAAAACAGTAAACAAATACTTCTGCATGGCAACAATCACTGTAAACAGAATGAAAAAACCAATAACAAACTGGGAGAAAATATGTGTAATAAGTATGACAATGAAAGACCAGTATTTTTAACATACTTTTTTTTTTAATGATGGGGGAAAAAGATCAAGATTCCTATGGAAAAGTACACAAAAGTCAGGACCATATAGTTCATAGGAGGCCCGAAGTATAAGAACAGATGCTTAACATCACTAACAGGGTAATACAAGTGAAAAGGACAAGCTACCATTTCTCATCATACTGGAAAAATTAAAAGCTTGATAATATGTTCCACGGATGAGGTTGTGGGCTCTTATTCAGGGCTGCGGGGAATCCACAATGGTCCCACCTTCTGGAGCAGAATTTGCAGCATTTAATAAAAGTACATGTGCATTTATCCTTGGACTGTAGAAATACAATACTTCTAGGGATTTGCCATGCAGAGGCAATTCCAATAGTATGAAACTATATATGCACAATGTTATTTATTGCGGCTTTCATTGTAACTATAAAATAATGGTGACTTACAGGAATATCCAAGCATAGGATTGGGTTCTGTGCAGCTGTACCAACAACAACAACAACAAAAAAAAAAAAAAAAAAAAAAGAGGGAAATTACTCTAACCTGATAGGGAATAATTTCCAGGAAATAGTAACTGAGAAAATGGAAAGCTCAAAGAAGATGTATGGTATGTCATCTTCTGTGTGAAAAAGAAGGGGAAGGAAAACATGTATGTAACTGATTATCCCTGGCAAAAGAAACACAGGAAAGATAAACCAGAAAACAATGAAATGGATTACTCACTGGAGGGGGAGGATGGAAGCAATTCTGGAGGGAGTGGCACTTCTCTGAGAATATTTTTGTACAGTTTTGACTTTCGAAAGCTTGTTAATGTTCTACATATTCAAAAATAAAATTAAAACAAGATGGGAAGGGAAAGGAAAAACCTAAAACTGAAAACAAATGGAAACAAAGGAATTCAATGTATTTCAAATGAAGACTCTAACCACATGGAGGTTCAGCAAAAGGAAGGACAAATGTAAGTAACTCCTGAACACCTGATTCACAGTCTACCTTCAGTCCTGGGTCAGGTTGGTGGGGGAGAATCACAGCCAATTCCTGGTCTCTTTTTTGGTGTGTGTATATATTCATTTTGTGGCCAACGAGTCAAGTCATTTTCAAACTATTTTAGGTGTAAGATGGATTTGGGTAAATGAGGAAATAGGGTAAGCAGGTGGGAGCTAGATTTCCTGTATGGGAAAGGACATTAAAATATGGGGTGGGGGAAAGCAAGAAGGTGGTTGTTGCAGATTGGAATTATAGGCATTTGTATGAACTCATGATTCTCTATCCATCCAACCACATGAAGGCATATGTATATGTACATATGTGTGTGTGCATGCACATGGTGTAATAAACACATGTATATTTTTCCAGTTTTTTTTTAAAGATTTATTTACTTATGCATACAGAACTGGGGTACAGTCCAGAGGTGCAGGGGCGGTGAGAGGATTCAGCAGAGACAGAGTGGGGAGCAGAACAGGCTAACTGACAAAGTACACTGCTGAGGGGAGCAGCGGGTGGGTCAGGAGAGGTCTGCTGCACCATGTGGGTCACCACTGGGGCGGGGATTGACTTCATGCTGAAGTGGTTCTACCTTCTTCTTAGTGCTGTGCTTTAACCCGCTGTGCTCCTGGAAGGGCCCTATTTTTCCAGTTTTGTCTGCAGGAAGGGCCTCTAAGCAGACTACCCAGAACCAATGAACACCTAGCACTCAAATCTTGCCTTCTAGTACCAAAAACTTCTTAAAGAAACAGCTAATTATAGAGCTGCATCAAGGTAGCTAGAAGAGGATGAACTTGG